CTATACATCTTAATATACATGGGGTCGCAAATGCCTCGTTGGCGAGATATAGCGGATCAAAGTTTCTTTAAAATTAAACATTATCTGCAATAAAAAGCACTTTTTTAAAAATATTGTCTACGCCATTGCTCTCTACGCGTGTAAAGTGATCAATTATCTATTAATTGGTCTGTTATACAACTTTGATCAAAGCAATAGTTTTTAAGAAAAACACGTTTGTAGAAAATTAAAATTTGTTAATTCAATCAAAAACTGTTGCTTTAATCAAAGTTTTGTAAGAGACCAATTGATAGATAATTGATCACTTTACACGAAGATACTGCCCGCATGACAAAATTAGCAGTGGAGTTGAAAATATTTTTAAAAAAGGGCTTTTCATTGCAGATAATGTTTAATTTTAAAGAAACTTTGACCCGCTGTATCTCGTTAAGCAGGCATTTGCGACCCCATGTATATTAAGACTTTTCATCTTAATTTTTTATGTATTACCTGCCCTAGAAGTCTGTCAGCGGTTTTTTGAATCACCCTGTATATAGTCACGACTTTGACATAGACAGAAATTTGACATTGTTGCATAAACAAAATAAAGGCCTAAAATGAATCTTTTAGAAACCTACGAAATTGATAGATGTAGAACGTGTGAATGACCAAACTCAAACCTTAAAAATCCCATTAAATAAGTGCTTCTCTCCACCCATTCCCCACTTCCTAACAATAACCTTTCCCAAACTGCAGAGGACTAGTGTATTTGGCCCGCGTACACTTTTCGCACTGTTTGGGATCCCAGCGGCCAACTCCAACTTCCCTCTTTACCTACATTCCTTTATAGCTAAACATCCCCTCTTTTCAAAAATAAAACAATCCTAAAATCTCACTTTAACATTTATCCACTCCCTGGTTTGAATATTTGAATGGCAACTTTAAATCTTTTGCCATTTTTCAATTTTTAATTTTTAATAATATAGTAGAAACCACGAGAGCTGGCAGTGACAGATCGCTTAAAAATGGTATGGATCAAGATATGGACGTACGACTTAGATTATTTCATCACATACATTTAAATGTAGGTTATGTTAGTAATGGAGGTTATATGTCAAACAATGTCAAAGATATTATTTAATGATTTTCCTTTCAAAGAAAACATTTTCGGCTTGTGAAAACACTAACAGATTCATGACAACGCTCACAAGACGTTTCGATTTGAGGTTATAATTATAGAGTTACATCCCTTATAAGAACAGACGTACTTTTTCGACGTGGCCATTTGAATTGTACAGCAGACATATTAATCTAATGCTATCTCTTTCTAACACACATTACTCTCTAGCGACTTGTGAACTACGTATGGCATTTGTAAGAGCGGAAAACGATGATTTACTGCCAGCTCTCGTGGCGTCTACTATAACATCATTTTCTTCATTGAAATAAACAAATCCTTTCCCCCAAAATGCAGAGGACTAATGTATTTAGGTTCGCGTACATTCAGTCGCACTTTTTGGGTTCCTAGCGCCCTACTCCAATCTCCCTTCATTCCTACTTTTCCTACAAATCTAAAAACTCCCCTATACTAAAACTAGTTAAAAATACACCTTATTATCCACCTCTACCCTCTTTACCCTCAAAATTTAACAAAATAAAATAACATTTTTCAACGATTAATATATAATTTGAATTCAAGTTTTTTTATCTTACAGGGGAAAGATAATGGAATTGAGGATTTTTTGGAGAACCTATCAGTTAGAACTTATAATGGATTAATTTTCCAACAAGACGAACCACTTCACAACAGCAGAGTGGTTACTGATCTTTTAAACAGAAAATACAATAACAATTGGATTGGAAATAATGGACCAATAAAGTGGCCACCACGGTGAGACCAAACCAGTTCTTTCTCACATTTCTCCTTATTCCTATCGTTTTACCTTCCAGGTCACCTGACCTCACACCTTTAGACTTTTTTTGTGGAGAAAAATCAAAAATGAAATTCCAAGGTTATAATTCATATTAAGCAGAAAGTAGATTATTGAGGCAGATATGGAGCTGGGGTAAGGAATATTGGGAAAGATTGGTGAAGAGATCCAGAAGAAACATTAGAGGTGGGTCTTGAGCTTGAGCAAGGAGACTGTGGTATATATAGTGAGAGAGGAGTTGAATCTGGAGAATATGAGGATGGAAGTAGGTTGAAGGGGGATAAAGTACGAGGATGAGTTGGAGCTTGGAGCAGAGGGCGACGTTTGGAAGAGTGTTGGGTGAAGATTAAGACTGGGGTGGTGGAGTATGGATAACCAGGAAGATGGGAATATTATATCAGACTAGAGTACTCAACAGAAGAAGTATAGAGAAGGTGGAGGGAAAGCTCAACACTGTG